AGACCTCGCTGGGCCCTCGCCCGGCTCCGAGGCGGCGGCGAGGCCGGCTGCAAAGCGTTCCCTGCGCATGCGCAGGGGATGCTCTGTCACTTTTGGGGGGATTTAAGTATCCCCCCGATATTTTTTTAACTTTTCAGATTTTTGTGAAAATCTCCCTCCCCCCCAGGTGCCCCTGATGCGCGGATTTAGGTATCCACACACCAGGGGGCACCTTCACTATCAGATATATAGACTGAGATCTTGTGAACCCCTGTTGTGAAATCTTGACTTTCAGCTTGGGAAGGGAGGAGCAGCTGCCAGGAGAGCTCGTCGGGGAGGGGAGGAGATGCAAGACCTGCCTCCATCACCCATCCAGGCCACCACCATGTGAGCCGGTTAGGTGGCAAAGGAGTTGGAGCAGGCCCCCCCCCAAGAACTGCGGGCAGGAATGGGGGAGGGGGAATGGGAACTGCTGGTGCTGCTGCCCTGTAAGCCAGACAGGTGGAGGCAGCGGCCCCACAAGTGGGGGGGCAGGAAAAGGAAGATGACCCGCTGTTTTTCCTCACCAGGGTGGCTGTTTAGGTGTCAGCACAGGAAGCACGAAGGTAGGATGGGATTCCTCCCCTGCAAGTCTAATGGTTCCCTGCTTGTTATCACCAGATTCTCCAGAAATGTAGATGACAAATTCGTAATTCTGTCAATGCCGAGAGCCAGTGCATTACACAGTGTTGTAGACTTGAACTGATGAGGCCTGGGATCAAATTCCTGCTCAGCTATAAGACGGCCAGCCTCCAGGTGGGGCCTGGAGATCTCCCAGAATTACGACTGATCTCTGGACAACGTAAATCAGTTCACTCGGAGAGAACGGCCCCTTCAGAGGATGGACTCCATGGCATTATGCAAAGCAATAAATGATGGCATTTTTTGTTCCTCGCCCTAAAGTTATGAAATGGCTCCCCCCGCCCCCCCGAAAACCCCACAACTAAAGCAGCAGTTTTTTCAATGTAACATCACTTTTTAATAAGCATAACATCTTTTCAGTCTCTAGTACAACTGAAACACAAGTGCTCTGAACGCAGCAACCTTGACAGGGGCAGGATCTTCAGAGCCCAACAGAAAGGGCAGGCTGAAGTCAGGCAAATCTTTACAGATGGTGCCCAGTAAAGAAAAGAGGACGTCCCGAATAGTAACTGAAAGGTGCAGGGCCTCTTCTTCCCCTGTAAGGCCTGCATTGGTTCCTCTCTTGTGCTTGAGGAGAATAGAGGCTGGAGAGGGCCTGGGGGGTCTGTTTCAAGCTCTCCTTTAGAACAAACCTGCTATACTTTACAATGCAAAAAGTGTTACTGTCACTTTCAGAAATAAGACAAGGGGTGGACCCGCGATACTCGGGGGAGAGGGGGAGCTCCACACCTGTAAGAGGAGGAAGCAGCAGCAGGAGGTAAGTTCCCCCCCTATCCCGCCGGTTCCCCCATCTCCTCCACCCCCCTCCACCCCCTGGCTTGATCTC